CTTTCCTGCACTTCTGATGCTGCTTGGCCTGCTGTGTTCATCCAGCTGTACACCTTGTTATCTTAGACTGCTCTTGCTTGTTTTTAGGCATGATGTGGAGATGCTGGTTTTGAACTGAGGTGGACAAGGTCAAAAATCACATGACACCAGGTTATAGTCACGGTGGCTCAGTGGTTAGCACTGCTGCCTCAGCACCAGGGACCCGGGTTCGATTCCAGCCTTGGGCGACATTCTGTGTGGAGTTTGCACGTTCTCCCCGAGTCTGTGTGGGTTTCCTCCCACAGTCCAAAGATGTGCAGGTTAGGTGGATTGGCCATGCTAAATTGTCCGTAGTGTTCAGGGATGTGTAGATTAGGTGGGTTACAAGGTGACGGGTCTGGGTGGGACACTGAGGTTCGGTGTGGACTTGTTGGGCCAAAGGGCCTGCTTCCATACAGTAGGGATTCTATGACTCTAAACCTGTTGGACTATAACCTGGTGTTGTGTGATTTTTGACCTTGTTTTTAGGTAGAACACAGTGATGCTGTGAAAGCTGCTGGATGGAGTTTTGGTTGCTCTCCAGTTATCCATCATTAAATCAACTTGTTCAGAGTTCAGGGAAAAGAATCTCAATTTATAAAAAGTAAGTGAACATTCCCTAGTCTGCTGGAAGGTATTTGCATTGACTGGTGTTTTTGGAATCCAAGCAAGATACAATTCCATGAGCCTGTAATAATACACATCATTCAAGGAATTTCATAAAGGCTTGGTACTCATTGAAACGGTTTTTGAACTATCCAGTTCCAGCTTTTTTTTTTTATTTAAGTTTATCCCTTAACTGTATCTGACTTTCTATGTTTCATAGTGGGGACTATGAATAAGAAGATTGAGTTTAAATCATAGATATTAATTTGATTTAACAAGGTGTAGAGCTGGATGAACACAGCAGGCCAAGCAGCATCAGAGGAGCAGGAAGGCTGATGTTTCGGGCCTAGACCCTTCTTCAGAAGATTAATTTGATTACCTTGTTTAGCTTTGCTCTGCTAAAGTTACAGTATTATAATAAATTGTAAGTTTCTATTTAAGCTATAAACTTGGTGTCTGATATGTTATTCATGAAATCTTGATAGGTACAACTGGGCAATTTTAAGGGTCGTTGTATATTTTAATTTTACTTACTGCAATAGCCAGTGTTAGCAAGTCTGATTTGGTCTAGCTTGCCATCCCTTTGTCATAACAAATGTTCCAACAAGTAAGAAACATTCCAAGGAACATCCATGGTTAATTAGAAAGCTTAAAAATCACACTAAAATTTAAATAAAAGACATTAAAATTATGCAAAGACAGGTGGCACATCAGAAAACTGTTACAAAAAAAAAAGAACAAGAATGACCAAAAAATTAGAGTACAAGAAAAAGTTAGCCAGAAATATAAAGACAGACAGTAAGAGCTTCTATAAATATTTTTTTAAAAAAGGGAAAAGTTAACCGAGTGTGCATTTAGCTTATAGAAAATTAGTCTGGAGAATTAATAATGAAAATAAGGAGATGTAGATGAATTAAACCAATATTTTGCATTAATCTTTACAATGGAGTATATGAATAACATCTCAGAAGCAAATATAAAACCAGGAAATGGAAGGGACGGAGGACCGCAGGAAAAAAATCAGAGGAATGTTGCCAAATAAATTGTTGGAGCCATGGGCTGACAATTTTCCAGCTCCAGGATGAATTTCATCCTGAGGTCAAGAAAAGTGCTAGTGATGCACTTGTATTAATTTTTCAAAAACTCCCTTAATTCAGAGAAGGTCCCATTAGATTGGAAAGTAACAAATATTACTTCTTTCAAAAAGGGAGGGAAGGAGATAGAAAAAAGGAAACTACAGGCCAATTGGTTTAAATCTGTCAGAGAAAATGTCTGACGCTATTATTGTAAAAATTACTGTAGGACACTTGGATAAGTTCAAGGTTAGAGCTAACATGACTTTGAGAAGGGAAAATATTTTCAGGAATTCTTTGAGGAATTAATATGGTTTAGGTGTGGAGAAGATATTTCCTGTTATGGGAGATTTTAGAATTAGTGGCCAATGTTTAAAAATAAGGAGTCGCCATTTAAAATAAATATGAGGCTTTTTTTTTCCCCTCAAAGATTCATGCATCTTTGGAACTCTTGCTGAAAAGGCAGTGGAAGGAAATTCTGAATATTTGTACAGCAGAAGTGGATAGGATTTTGGTAAGCAGAGGGGAAAAAAATGATCAGGAGCAGGCAGGCGTATGCACTGGAGGTCATAACCAGATAAACAGT